TCTCAGCCTAAAATATAAAACCATATTTTTGTTTAATGTTACTATTTGTTCAATTCCAAATTTTAAAAATGTTATTCTGCACATATAAAAATAGTGCAGCATACACAATTAATGTTATCGCTTTCAAAAACTTGACCACCATTTTCTTACTAAATTCAGATCTCCCCATTTCACCATTAGTCATAGATTCACAAATGATTTTTATGAAATTGAAAGAACAAATTGGGATAGGAATTTGTAATTATTTTATACATTGTATTTTTTAAATGTAAATGAACTTGAACTCAACGGTCATTTACTGGAATGACACCTTCTCCATCCCAGAATCTATTACCATTTGCTGTTGGCAGTACAGAGGCCTTTCAAAGATCTTCTGGATGTACTTAGTACCTTCAGGAGAATGCAGTAGAGGCCTGGAGAATTAACTATCTGTCAGGCATTAGAGGAAAACATGTCCTCAACATTTGTTTCAAGATTTAGGGGATAGCCTTTAGTTGTATAGAAATGTTGTAGAAATAGGGAATCACCTTTGATAAAGAAACCAGACAAATTAAATGTTAGTATAGTGAGCTGTTTTGTACTTCATGTGATCTGAATTCAGCTCATAGCCTCCTACTTGACTTGAGATTCTGAGTAATTCCATTCATCATTCCTAGCAGTGTAAAGAAAACATTGGTAACTTAGATCATTAGAAGGAGTACACACTGTCTACTATCCCCAGTGGATTTTGACTAAACCAGAAACAATCAAATTGACTTGTGAGAGAAAAAACTCAGAACAATAAAATATTGGCAGCTTACAAACATGCCATTCAGGTATTATGGAAATAAGCCAGCCCAAATCACTCAAGGAACAAAAATAAAGCCAATTCACTATGTTTGAATGTCAAAGGGATTTTCAGGTAATAGCTTGCAAAATGAAGGGCACCTTTTGAGTTCCAACATAAATTTCAACAACCTAAATTGTTCCTTCAGAGAGTAACAATCCTCTGGAATTCTGAAGGAATATATTCCTAGTGAAATTGTAAAAACTTCTTTCTTGTAAATGAGTTCTGTTATTTATGTCATGTTTAATTTTATCTGTTGTTATGTCTTTGTTTACTTATTTCCAAGTCTGTTTCAAGTTCTCTTGTGTAATTAGATGGGACATAAATTGTAAATTCATTATTGAAAAAATTGGTATTTTGAGTATTTACTATGTGTTAGATGCTTTAACACTTAATCCTCATAACATTCCTAAAAACTAGCCTCATTTTATAAAGGCCCTAAACTGAGGCTTGGATACTTCATGAGATTTTCAAGTTTACCCAGTTTGTAAATGGTGAAGCTGAAACTCTCAAATATATAAACGCTCACCATTTGCCTCTAAGCGTATAGTCTTTACACTAAGCAACACTGTTTTTACTATAAAATTCTACTATTAATTTGACATTATATTAGCAGCATTTATTATATGATATTAAATTTATTCATATTTTTTAAAGTTCATGTATTTATTTTGAGAGAGGGAGCAGGAGTGGGGGAGGGGAGGGAAGAGAGAGAGAGAGAGACTGAGAGAGAGAGACTGAGAGAATCTCAAGCAGGCTTCACACTGTCAGCACAGAGTCCAATGCAGGGAACCATCTCACCAGCAGTGAGATCATGACCTGAGCTGAAATCAAGAGTAGATAGCTTAACTGAGTGAGACACTCAGGCACTCCTGTATTTGTTCATGTTTAAAATTTGGGGGCTCTTGAGTGGCTCAGTCAGTTAAGCATCTGACTCTTCACTTTGGCTCAAGTCATGATCTCATGGCTGGTGAGATGGAGGCCCCCCCACCCAGTTGGGCTCCACTGATAAGGTGGATCCTGCTTGGGATTCTCCATTTCCTCTCTCTGTTGCCCCCCCCCCCCTTTTCTTGCCCCCCCCCCCCCCCCGACCCTGACACACACACTCTCACTTTCTCTCTCTCAAAATAAATAAACATTAAAAAAAACTAATAAAATAAAATGGTCTCAGATTTCAACAGTATTCTCTGACATTATTTGAACACGAAAGAAGACTTTTCTTTATGTCAGTACTAAAGTCATGCGTCATGCTCTACTATGACGTATCTGATTTGTTTTAGTGCTCCCTAGCACAACAAAAACTTGTTCTGAGCTGATAATTCCCCTGCCAGGGTGATTTATAACTGTCACTCTGAAGGTAGGAAGACATCTGGCTTTTTCTTTCTCTGTTTTTTTTATTGTTGTTTTGTTTGTTGTTGTTGTTGTTGTTGTTGTTGTTGTTGTTTGTGTGGTCCTACTTCCCCACTGTGTCCACTGCCTCACAATGTAGCAGTTAGACATTTTAGGGAGCATGATATAGTTGATTACAGTTGTAGAGAATTTCTGACATAAACTGGATATTGCACTTTCTGCTGCAGAAGGCACCAGTTTGTTTTAGGAGTCCTACGTATGTTGGCATCCAGTAACTGTTTTTTCACCAGATTCTCTCTGTGTAGAATCTCTTCTCTTAATTTCTTTACCTGGCAAACTAATTTTAGGTCTTTCAATGCAGTTTACAGTTAATCTACTCCAGGGATCTTTCTACAACACCCCCTCTGTATATATTATTTACCATCATCACACTGTATTATAGTAATCTATTATAGAGATCTAAGTCTGTTTTAGTCAGTATATTTGGAACTTCTTTAAGGCAGGGCTGGGGTTTAATGTTTTTGGTATTACCATTATTATTTTTTAATGTTTATTTATTTTTGAGAGAGAGAGAGATCACAAGCAGAGGAGGGGCAGAAAGAGAGGGTGAAACACAAATTCTGAAGCAGGCTCCAGACTCTGAGTTGTCAGTCCAGAGCCTGACATGGGGCTCAAACTCACAAGCCATAAGACCATGACAGGAGCCAAAGTTGGATGCCTAACCATCTGAGTCACCCAGGCACCCCTAATGTTTTTGCTATTATTGATGCATAATAAGTGCTCACTAAAATGTTTTTAAAATAAAATAATGACTTTATAGTTCTTCCAGGAAAATCTAAAAAGATTTTAGAGTATAAATTATGAATAATTCCTTTGGAAAGAATTTCATATATTTTTGAAATAAATTTCTAAAAAGCTTATCAAGACTATAAAGGATTGAGATTTTACATCACCACTGTTCATGAAAGTATGACCTGGAAAGGAGTGACTTAGATTGAATAGGCACCATTCTATGAAGATATTTCTGAAAGCCTTAGTATTTAGAAACAATTGATTTATATTCATGGCCACTTGTACTTTAAGTTTTAATCATTTAATTGACTCCTTCCTAAATCTAGATTCTTCCTAGATTTAAAAGCTACAAAATATCAGCCTACTTTAGAAATATTTTCTTCAAGAACAGCTCTCTAGAAAGATTTGAGAATGGATATTTACAAGTATACATCCTTTTGACTTATGAAGTAAGTAGAGACTGAGTCTTCCACCTGCAGTCATGGACTCCCTTATAGAAGACGACCCTTTTCTGACCTTAGGCAGTGGGAAAGGGGCTTTGAGCACCTCAAATCTGGAGCCTACATGGAAATTCAGCTCACTTCTTAGGAGCTGAATGGCCTGAAAACCTGTTCACTTTAGTTTTCAAACCATAAAGTGAGAATACACCTACTCCTAAGGATCTTGTGAAAATTAAATGACTTAATGTATCAAAACTGATTGGGATTGTTCTAGGCATAGAGTAAGCAGTATGTAAATGTTAGGTAGGGAAAAATAATGGAGATCAAACTTTTTTTAGAGTGCCCAGCCTCATCTTCTCTTTGTACACTGAAAGAGGAACTTTCATGTTGCCATCTGTTTCTATCAGATCTTTGCTCTCATTAGGAAAAAAAAATTAATGATAATATGGATTGATACTTTTCTAGGTATATGACTGGAGTGTCATGAAACAATGTGCTTTTATGCATGCTAGAATATGCTCAAGAATCAACCTAGATGGTCTAACCACTATAAGGGACTCCTATAATGAATGGAGACTAACTGCTATTTGGCAAGAGGGTCCAGGATTCCTCCCTTCTCACCACCACAGAAGGTGGTGTGTGTGCCTCTCCAGTTGCTCTGCTTGCTAATCCACAATTCACCAGACCAAACTAATTTTGACAAATTATATAAAAAAAAAGGAAAACTTCCAGTAAGCAGTCAGGTCTGCTGACATTTGATAATATCTAGTTGTCAGTGAGATTTCACAAGGTGCCTATGCCCACACCAATTCCTGGATTTAAAAGAAACACACAGCAGAAATTTGTGGAATGAAAATTAATGATAAAACATTTTGCAGACATTTCATACGGGATCATATGTTAGTTAATGTTTACAGTTCATGGCCTGGATGGTTTTGGTTAATTAAAGAAATCACTTGGGATAAGGAAGCACTCAGAAACGATTGTGGGTTTTTATACAGTTCATAATAAGCCCGGAGACTTGAGGGAGCCTTTCAAGGCTCTATAAAACTGAATATATTTTCCCTTTGGCCCATTATTTACTTAACTGCAGGTCATTTACTTCAGCAGGAGAAAATGTACCTGTTCAATATCAAAAGGCCCATGAATTTTAACCTTCTTTTATTGCCCTATTATATCATTTGAGAATTTTAAGTTAAATGAAAAAAAAATGGTGATTTTTCTCTATATTAGGACTCCTCTCAGCTTCTGTGATTTTAGTTTCCATAATTTAAAGTGCATATTGAAAATAAATTGCTTTATTTGATTGCATGTAGATTTTCCATTAATGAAGTCCAGTAGATATATTTAACATTGTATATACATCTATGAAAAGTAATATATTCAGAAATAGCTCTGAAGATAACGGAACCTGTGTATGTATCCACTTAAAGATCTCACCTAATAACAGTTTTCTTATTGCATAATAATATGAATTTATACTTCAGATTATGAATTATGCATGTTGGGGAAGGATCTAGCTATTTTAGTTGAGGATATTAAATTTGTTAATACTTTTTTTTTCAATACCTACTCCTGCATTGTGTGCACAGGACAAAGCCCAGCCGTACCACCTCCATTACCAACAGAACGAGCTTCCAGACCCACTCCGGCATCACCTACCCCTGAAGGCAAGTATTTTATGTTTCCAAAGCTCTCCTCTATTATAGATAAACTAGAATGCAGAGAAACAAAAAACAATAGTAACAGCAGAAACAAAAAATCCATATTTTCTTAAATAGTGTTGGTACATCTAAGCTACAGTTTCCTTTCTCTGAAATTACAACTTGCTGTGTTTTGGAAAACCAAAATTTTTCCTCTTAAGATTTTATACTGGTGATCATCAGCTTCCAGAAGAATGACCAGCTTCATGCTCTGGAAATCAAGCTAGAAAGTACAGAGACAAATAGTCAAGGATATGTCATGCAACTCATGCAGTTTTACCACAACTTGACCAATTTAGTGTCTTTATGACTCTAGGACAGAGTTTCTGGGTTTAAATCTGAGTTTCACCTCTTACTAGTTTTGTACATTTTCGTTTACTTAAACTCACTCTTCATGAGTTTTATCACCCATGAGATGAGTTGAAAATAGTACTGAGCTCATAGAATTAGTGTGAGGATACAATGGTGTGTATCTGTGTGTGTGTGCCAGTTTATAAGCACTTTATAAAATTAATGACTAATACTACTGCTATTAATTAGTTCTTCAAAATATGGTGTTTGGGGATTGGCAAAATTAGGGGAGGCAAGTGTCATCATAATCAAGTTTTCAAAATCATTTGTCTTCATTTATTCATTCAACTATCATTTATTAAATTCCAACCATAGGATCACACCAGGTATTGCCCAAAGTACTGGAGATTCAAAGATTAATAGAAAATAGTTCCTGTCCTACTAAGACTCAGTTTACAGGTGTAAAATTAAAAGTAATTAAAGAGAAGCCAGATATAAAACACAAAGAATTAAAGCCAAGTGCACCACTACTTTTTTGCAAGGGTACAGATGGAGGTCTCCTTCAGACCATCATAGCACCCCTTCCACTCCTAGCTCTGTCAAACACTGAAAAGGACCTTCTGTGTGTGTGTGTGTGTGTGTGTGTGTGTGTGTGTGTGTGTGTGTATGTGTGTGTGGACACAGACTGCTTACCCAAGTTCCACACCCATCTGTCCAGCAGCTACCTGTCAACTTTGCTCACCCCATGAGTTCAGCATCCCCAGAGAAAGAACTGTCTGGCAGATAAAAAAGGTCAGAGTTCTAGGACCTGAAGTGTAAGAGAGGAAAAAATTTCAGGTGGCCACACCCTGTCATCCCCACAGACCCTTAGACCTAGGGCAGGATGTAGCCAGAGGAGGGCACATAGAACCCTGTAAAGCACAGAACCTACTGGAGGCACCTTGGTTGCTGGGTTCTAAGAGTTGTGGTGATTACACCATAAGATAAGAACCAAAATAGAAACCAGTGCTGAGTACTGTGGAAGCTTAAAGAAGGTAGGGCATAGCTCTGTTTGGAAGAGGTGAGTAGAATTCCAGGAAAGGCTTCTCTGCAGAAGTGGCTGTGGAGCTTAAATCCCAAGAATATGGAAGAATACACAAGGAAGGCAAGAACATTACCAACAAAAGCATTGGCATATGCAAAAAATATGGAGATGAAAAGAAAGAGGTTTTGTTCAGATACACCTAAGTACTTCATCTTGGAGAGAAAGAAGGCAGTATGAAGAGGGTCTGGGACAGATGAAAGGCATGCAAAGGACAGATCACAAAGTGCCTTGTAGGCTAAGCTTGGGATTTATATTTATCTTTAAATTTTTATTATAAAGCATTGAATAGTAAAATAAATCTGCAATATACTCAGCCTGCAGATACATTTATCAACATTTTCTATTCTTACTTATCCAACCTTTCTTTTCTTTCCTTTTTTTCTTCCTTTTTTTGTTTTTTTACTGCTTGTATTTTTATTACTTTTGCAGATCTCTGATATCATGCTATTTCACCCAGCTAAGGAATTTTTATTTCCTTTTAAAATTTTTGACATGTTTACATGGTTCAAATTTTAACAATTATGAAAATGATTTAAAGTAGTGGAAAGTTTCCCTCCTGGCCCTGTGCACTAACTACACAGTTCTCCTTCTAGGCAAACAATGTTAGCTCCTTCCAGAGATATTTTGTGCATATACAAGCAAAATATTTTCACCTCAGCAAAGTAATTTTTTTTCTATAGACGATAAGGAATTTCCCATAGATGAGATAGATATGTTCATTTTAAAAAGACAATTTGACTGCCATCCTGCTGGTCTAGACAGGTGGTATGAGAGTGATTGCAGACACTTGAGAAGAGAATAGTCCAACTAAGTTGTAACGCAAGAACTTAACCGTGGTGTAATGGTTGGAGAGAGCAGGTAGATCGGAAAAGTACCTGGAAAGGGAACCAATTGGTTAAAGTATCTGATTACTATGCATGCGGAGATGCAACAAGTAATTAAAATGACTCCGGCTTTCTGAATTAGATATCGAGGTGGACAGAGGTGCAGTTAACTAAGATGGGAAACCACTGAAATAAAACAGGCCTGGTGAGGAGAAGCAGGATGTCATGGGTTTAGGACAGACTGGTACATGACAGTTTCGCATGGGCTTCCAGGTAGAATTACTGAGCAGTCCATGCTAAATTGGCACATGGAACTCCAGAAAATATTATATGGCTGTTATCTGGAATTATATACTCATGTAAGCTGTCCTTACCTCTATGCCTTACTTATCTTCTATCCCCCAAACCCCATCCCCAGATAAAGCTCCATAATGAGGAGGAAATGTCTGAGAAGTTCAGTTCATTTCATGTATCCAAACCCGTCTCACAAAGGGGACCAGGTCTTATTGAACATTTCTTGTTACCTAGAGGGATTGTGGGAATTCTGTGTCTCTGAAAATGGTGATTTACAGCCTGTGCTCTAGAATCACACAGATCTGTATCCAAATTCTGATTTTGCCATTTTCTACCTTCAGGAACAAATGCAATAACTAAACTTTTAGCCTGTTTATTGGTAAAATACTGATACTCATATTACCTGTCACAGAGAGGTCTTGTAAAGACAGAATAGAGCTACAAATATTTCAATTATTATTACTGTGTTTGATATTGATAAACTTGGGAATTCTCCTTTGACTGCATTTTATTGATTTAAGACAACTTTTCACAAAGAATAGTTTGCAGATCGTCAGCACCAAATCAACTGTGAGGCTTCTTAAAAATTCATATTCCCACCGTATCTTAGACCTAACATATCAGATTCTCTGGCAATTCAGAGAGGAAAGAAATCTCTATTTTTATCAAGCTCCTCAGCTGGATCTTATACACACTAAATTTTGAGAACCTTTGGTTTACGTCCATGTGTAAAGAAACCTTACAGATGCAACAAACTGTTTTACACAAACACCTAAACTTGGTAGCCTGTTTCAAATAGTCTTTTGTATTTTATTTTAATTAAATGAAATTAATTAATTTAATTTAATCTGAATGCCTTGGTGAGAGATACATTATCCAATTGACTACAGACCAAATGATCCTTTTGGCTATACATTTATATTTCACACAGCTAATAACCAGGGAAGGATTTGGGTAGCTGGGCAGGTGATGTTTTCCTTTGGTTGTGTTCTGACATCAGCATGTTCTACTCACCTTCTGTCCAGATCCTGACCAAGTCACACCTGCAGTTATGCTCTCTGCAACTCATATTTATTTAGAATATTATGTTTTCTGTATTTATATGAATTTTACATTTGATATTTCAAAACCTTGTAAAGTACACATTATTAAGGATTAACAAATGTAGGTTTGAAATTTATTTATTTATGCTAAGTTAGTAAATAGCAGATCTGGGTTTCCAGCCCAGAATTTCTAGTTCTATGCCCAAGGATCTTTCTCATATACTGCTATGAAGACATCAGCATTTGAGGCTCCTACCTTCATGTCTTCTGAGGCCTCAACAAGTTTTGGAGGATGAAGACATAAAGTGTTGTGCTTTAGATTTCATGAAGTTCTGTGATAGAAACATCATGTTCTGATCTTAGTATAGAGAAACCTAGCAATGCTTCTTAAAATTTGGTGTGCGCACAAATCTCCTAGGGCTCTTGTGAAACTGTAGATTCAAATTTGGTAAGTCTAGTGTGGGGCCTGAGATTCTGCATTTTTACCAACCTCCCAATGTTTGCTGATGTTTCTGGTCTAGGACTCCATCTCAGTAGCAAATCCCTAGGTGATTTAGAGGGAAGTGGAGAGCAATTAAATATTTCTAAAAATGCTTTTAATTTAGGACTAGTCACCTAAATGACCTGTAATTGGCCAAATGTCCTTCAGAATGACTAAAATGTCACCCATGGAGAAATTTTGACTGCTACTTGTCTGGGAAAGAACAATAGTTTTCAAGTCAAGTACCTAAGCATTCTAGAACGGCTTGCAAGAGAGCAAGAGAAATGCCAGTGGGAATGGGGGGAAAGGTTACATTATACTTGCAAATTATAATAACCTAGTGTACAGTATGTAAAATGTTTTGATTTGGCCAGCTACACAAATGGAATGAACTAGTAGCTTTAAGCTTTAAATAAAATCCTGTATCATCTGTTAATCAGTGGTATATCAATACCCATCTAAAAAAAAAAAGAATTTTTTTGGTCATTAGAGATCACAATTTAACGTAAAGTACATGTAAAATCTTACTCCAAGACTCCAAATCAACAATGCTTCCTGAATTTTTAGAGAACAGTCCAGGACTAGTCCCAGGTTTGAAACCTTTGTCTCCCATCCAAAACTGCTGCACACACATTTTATTGGATCCACACAAGTTTTCTACGTACTGATTTTTAAGTGTGGTCATCTTGAATATGGGGAGTTTCCCATTGTTTCCATCAACTGCCACACCTCTGTTTCACCCATTCACTCACTTGGCTCTTGATGTCATTTCTGTGTGTGACCATTATGTGAAGACAATTACTCTCGATATTATAATTTCTTAAATTCCTGATCAGCACTGGATGTCTTGGTTTGCAAGAGCTGCCAGACAAAACACAACAGATCAGGTAGCTTAAGCAACGGAAACTTCTCATAGTTCTTTAGGATGGAAGTCTGAGATCAGAGTGCCATGATGGTCAGGTTTCTGGAAAAAGCCCATGTCCTGGCTTGTAGACATCTATTCCTTGCTATCTTCACATGGTGAAGAGAGACCTCAAGTGGCTCTTCCTGTCCTTGGGACACAGTTCTATGGGATCATGGCTCCTCTCTTACAACCTCATTTAAGCTTAATTACCTCCTAAAGGCCCCATCTCCATCCAGTACAGTCATATGGGGGTTAGGGCTTCATGTGTGTATTTGGAGGAGACATAATTCAGTCCTTAGCACTTGGTAACCTCTGAGCCTCATTATTAGTAAATTAGCCGCTTAAATGTTTACCTTATACAATTAGAGTTGTTTAAATATTTCTTTTTGCGTAGTTGATGATTTGCCTTTGCATTTCTATCATATGTGGTTTCTCACCAGTATAAATTCCCAACTTGTATCATCTTTTGCATATTCTTGATATTGATAGGAGTTAAATATTTTTAAAAATGTCTTAACTGGATTCAAATGTAACTGAGTTATACTGAAAATAATAAAACCAAAACTGAGTAAACTCATCACTAGCAATTATTGTATATCATTTACCTAGCTAGTAAGCAGATTATTTAGAAAAAAATGCTTAGAACTCGAGAGAGAGAGACAGAGACAAAGACAGAGAGAGGTCAGAGTCACATTTTGTTTGGCATTTGGACTATAAGAGCTTGTGTTACTGGAGATAATTTGACAAAAAACTGACGAGTGACTCTGTCACTGCCCCAATGTTCACAGGACAAGGGATAGCCTATAAATAATAGTGTCACCTTAAGTTTCATTGGATTCTAATTCTGTTGTTGTTGTTGTTGTTGTTGGGATATGGACATAAATCAAGGAACTCCAATTCCCCAATTTGAGACAGATTTTGATAGATTATTCAAGTGTTTGGCTCCAGTTTATCTCCTACAAGAGGTTCATAAAACACCAAGTAGAAAATGTTTTGCCTATCAGTCTGTCACTTGGAAAAGGATGTGTCATTTGTAAAGTGGGACACTTAGGCTTCTATTGTTCTATTAAAGAGCTATTTAATTTGACATTTTATCCTGGAACCCAATATGGTGTTTAAGTGAATAACATAATGATGCAGGATTACAGGGCTTTTGCTAGTATCTCCTTTTACTCCCAGAGAAAGAGTCTTTATGCTGAGGACACTGGCCCTGAACAGGTTTCCAAGGAGTCCATGCTATCAGGCGATGCTGAGATCATGGGCTTTGTCAAGGCTTGCAGATGTGCCTGCAACTTCATTAACATAATTGATTAGGAACTAGGACATATTTAGTATTAATCAAGCTGTTTTTAGTGAGGTTGATTATGCACAGTCCTTGATGCACTATTTTAGTCTGAAACTTCCTTAGGACCAAGTTGCAAGAAAATGGCATTACATAAAAAGGAAATTGCATGTGGCACTAACGTATGCTATTTGATTTGAAGAATACAGATAGAACAGGTAAAATGTGGGAGCTTAAACATATTTTGCATTTTTTTGTTTTAAGAAAGTAGAGCTTATCTACACACTGGATTATTAAGTTTGTTCACAGGACATTGGCAACAGTTTAGAATTTTAACAGATTTTAAAAAATCATGGGCCTTGCTGTGAGTGAAACTGCTCTCATGTCTGTGAGGCCCTTAAAAGCACTGAAAACAAGGAAAATTTCATGGCACTGAAAACAAGGAAAATCAGTTTCTCACAGCACACACTTCCTTCTTGGAAATCTTGGTGTGCTTCTCAAGCTATTTGTCTTATGCCTTGAAGATGTATCTTGCCGTCCTTTAACTTCGCTCCTCTCCCCACATCACACACTTTGCACATCATAATGAAGTTTTTATTGCTTTAGACATTTGGATGTGAGGACTGATTGTATATTAAATCAGTTGTTTCCTTTGACTCCTCCTATATTTTTTAGGATATGTCTGGCCATGGAAAGTTGGCTACAATAGCATTAAACAAATCTCATATAACAATCACATCATGTAATCATTTCTGACATTGTCAATTGGCATTTAATTACGGATATAACTTAAAAGGGACTAACTTAAATATAATATTAATTCTCACATTCTTTCTAAAACAGTATTACATTTTGTGACAGAATTCCCATATCCACTGGAGCTCTCCTGGGGCTCAAAACCCTGCAGGTTCAAAGAGCCACTAAAGCTACCACTTACCTCATTAAGAGAGCTTAACTACTGAGTTCCTCCCCCAAAGAAATGGCAACTGTTATATTAACATTAGGTTATTCTTATGTTTAGCCACTTTATCATCAAATGTTCATCAGAACTGTATTTCTCAGGAGGAATTAGCCCCTGACTCCTCTCAGACAGAATCCTCAGTGATTAAACAAACAGCTTCAGGCAACATTTTCCAACCTCACCCCATCACCAAAAAAAAAAAAAAAAAAAAAAAACCAAAACAAAAAAACGTTGCTTCATAAAATCGTAGTAGAAGCACAGTTACCAGATATGATCCTATTATTTTTTAATCAACAATGCGAAAAGATTTTTTTCTTTCCCCCTACTCAACATGGACATCCCCCACAACATCATGTTTTTTGTTGTCATTGTTCTCTAAAGAATACAAGATTTCTACTCACATGTAATTATTCAACATTTAGTGTAAAATTGTCACAACTTGTCTATTGTGGCAAATATGTGGAAAGAAGTTATGTGATCCTTTATTAACTATATATCTTATGCTAAAGTTACTTTTAATATTCTATTATAAACATATAATTTACATAAATAAAGGCAAATATAATAAGGTAAATAAATACTGTATACCCTATCATCTTCTTGTATAAATATACAATTGGTACTTAGTATGGCAATTGTAAATAATATAATAAATGACATCATCCATATGTGGGCAAAAGAACTCTAGAGAGAAGGCCAAGGACTCAGCTTCTAATCCCAGCTTTGACACTAATCAGTTATATGACCTTTGACAAATCAACTGACTTTTTAGGATCTCCATTTCTTCACCTGTAACGTGTGGGGACAGAACTTAAATGGTCTCTTTCTTTAAAATGTGTGTTTGATGTTTATTTATTTTTGAGAGAGAGAGAGAGAGAGAGAGAGAGAGAGAGAGAGTGAGCAGGGGAGGGGCAGAGAGAGAGAGAGAGGGAGACACAGGATCTTAAGCAGGCTCCAGGGTCTGAGCGGTCAGCACAGAGCCTGATGTGGGGCTTGAACCCATGAATCATGAGATCATGACCTGAGCTGAAGTCACATACTTGACTGACTGAGTCACCCAGGTGCCCCTAATGGTCTCTTTAAGTCCCTTTTTACTTCCACCCAAAGATTTTAAGCTTATTGTTTTCAGGCTGATGGGTTGGTAATTAACTATCTTAAGAGCAGAGGGCGGACTTAATGGCTTTGTATAGAGGTTAAATAGCTACCAGGGATGTTTACAGTATGCTTGTGGTCTGGATAGAGATATCTACTTGGGACAACCAGGCATGCCCCCGTGCATAGAATAGTACCACGATGCATTATTTACTGATGTACAGAAGTAAGTTGTACAGACCATAAAAGCTGTAAAAGTTAGGATGGAGATGAGATATGAGTGAGACAAGGCTATACAATGAAATCACAAGACTTGCATTGGGCCATAAAGAGTGGGTTGGTAGGATTTGTGTAGAGGAGAATGAAGCATTATAGGAAACTTATTATAAGATTATTTCTTACCATAGGATGAATCCGGGGACAATGTTCTACAGGAGCTAGTAATGTTTTATTTACAATTCTATTAAACCAAGAACTTTATCACCTTAGCTCTTCAGTGAGATATATCCTAAGAAGCAAAGAACATAAAATAATAAAATAGAAATTTGGCCCCCGTTCTTATTCCATTAACTCTATGACACAATGAATTTTATTGAACTTTAGGCCAATGTAATATTTTTCTTTGTTTTGTGGTGAAATAAACTTATATCTTTCAGCAATTTTTGATGGAATTGACCTTTAGGTATTAATTTTGATAAAATATATAAACCAAACTACTTTCACTAGTTATTTAACTTAGAAACTTAACACAACTAAATGAAATAATGTGTATAACAGCTTAGCACATTTTTTAGCACAGTTAGGTACTCAACCATTAATTGCTATTATTGTTATTATTTTTATCAGGAAATTTCTCTTATATGTATAATAAATCATTAAATATTATGGTAGTTTTTAATTGGTATCTCTAGAAGATAATAATGCATTAGTGGCACTAGTCAGTATATGTGAAACTCTATATAATTTCTTAGTATAGAATTTGGTTCATATCCTGAAGGGTTTTGTACACACAGCTAAAGATGTTATGCCACCTCACAGACTACATGAGCCTGCTAAAGCAATTGAGCAAAGAAGGAGTATGATCAGATTCACATTTTAGATTTATTGCATCAGCCATAGAAAGAATGGATAGCTGAGGGGTGGAGATGGGGGTCTGGAGACGAGACAATTATAGGAGGCTACTGCTCATGAGGAAAAATTATGCTACTTTTCTTTTGAACGATTCCATTTAACCCTCAAAACAACTCCAAGCAGTACATATGATTTCACATCATTTTAGAATTTAGAGCTGATCAGAGAAATCAAGTAAATTGCCTAGGAGAACACAGCTATAACAGTGATATGCATTTGACCTTCAAATAATGTGGAGATCTAAGGCACTGCTTGCCCGCTCCAAGCAGTCACAAATCCATGTATAACTTTTGACTACTAGAAAACTTAAGTATTAATAACCTACTGTTGACTGGAATCCTTATTGATACATAAATAGCTGATAATACATATTTTATATGTATTATATACTGTATTCTTAAAGGAAACTAGAAAAAAGGTTATTAAGAAAATCATAAGAGAGAAAATATATTTATACTACTGTATTTATACTACTGTATATTTATACTCTATTTATTTAAAAATTCCATTTGTAAGTGAACCAGTGTGATTCAAATGTTGTTCAAGGGTCAACTGTAATTGGAATTAGAAGCCAGGTGTCTCATATCCAGGTTTAGACTGTTTCCATTATTTTAAGACTAGCAATTAAGTGTTAGTGTTGAGCATGATTGCTAAAGTCTGTGTGACCTGAGTAAATGAATGGCATTAAGAATAAGAACAGGTTTGGAGAGATGATAATGAGCTCAGTTTGGGGCTTGTTGAGTATGTAAGGGTCCCTGGCATATCAAGATGCAGAGGTATGGTGAGACATCCCAGGGCTAGCAAAAACAGGAAGGCTTTATCAGTCCTAGGCCTGAAGAGGTCGGGGAATGTAGTGGTTTACAAAGCCAAAAGCCCTGTAACTCTAAGAGAGATGCTCAGTCAGAGCTATGTCCTGCATTAAGACAACACATCATCAAAATTCTGTAAAATGATGTGTGTAATATCCTCAATAAGCCTGGGAGGGAATTGGAAGATAACTCTTTTTTGTTTATTTTTATTTTTGAGAGAGAGAGCGCGCGCGCGCGCGTGCGCGTGCACACACACACACACACACACACACACACACACACAGAGTGGGGGAGGGGCAGAGGGAGACAGACAGAGAGGGACTATCTTAAGCAAGTGGAAGAATGTCAAGAAAAAGGGAAAGAAGAAGGGAAAGAAATGGGAGTTTTTCGTGGATTATGAAATATAAATACATTTTAATAGGTATTAAATATATTTCATAAGAAACTTGTGTCTCTAGAATTTTTCTCTCTTGTCATTTGGTTCTGACTTCCCACCACTGATTATTGGAAAGACTTTTTTTCTGAGACATTTACTTTTTTCCTATTGACCTATGTGTAAGGGAAGTTTTTTCTACCCCTACACATCTAACAGTATAGTTAGGGTTGATCTGATTTGACCCTCCAGCAGGAGTAAGTGTTTATGCTGGGGATCAAGGGGTGGCATCCACAAAGCAGGAAAGAGTAAAGGAGCCATTTGTTGATTGGAATCTGTTATTTGTTCTCTCATAACTTTTATCATCGTATCAAGAAAGTAGTTTTTACCCAGTATTTTGATCTATAAAGGAACAGAGAGGAAGTTAAGGATGACGTGGGCTGTGAATATGTGTGAACATGATCTATTAGTAGCTTTCTTATTATGGCATTCTGATTAAAACCTCTCATGCCAGCAAATTTTTCTCATAAAACATTTTATAAAAAATAACTGGATCCCTCCAAAGCTCTACTTTGTAAGTACCAGTATTTCTTTATAAAACATTTATTTGTTATTTGTGTCAGATTAACCTAAATGTTTCCTCCTCTTAGACGAGTTTGTTACAATTCCAAAAGATACTTTTCTTCTTCTCTAGAACAAAATGCATCTTTAAAGCCAGGTCAGTTTTAGCCAAATAGAGTAGAGTCTTGGCAACTGGTAACATAATAAAGGATTTATTGTTTTAATGTTTTTGTTTGCTGTAATGTTTTGATGTTTAATGTTATGTTTAATGTTTTAAACATTAAACATGTAAAAATTTTTGATCTACTAGAATAGACCTTATATGTGGAAAGAGAAAACAAAAAGTTTTGTTACTACTTTGGTATAGTTCATGAGAGATGATGGAATTTATGTAGCCCATGAGTTAAAATAAACGCAAATTCAACATATTAAAATGATTACAACTTTAAAGTTGTACTCTTTGAAAGGATACTTGTTTCCTTTTTAATATTGATGTCCATTAGACATATTATTAAAAATGGAAAGGTTTCCATTGAAAATCAGACTTACACACATGTCCAATAACTCTTAGTAATTTTAAAGTCAAATTGTTTTTGAAAATAACTATTCAGTTTTTTTAATTTATTTAGTAAATCAAGTCCTGACTTCTCAAGGATCTGTTATAAAAATAGCAGTATCTTTGAAATAGTGCTTTAAGGGGATATATATTTCAATTTTGAATGATAACCAGCTTTTTCTCTAAATATTGATAATTTTGTCACAAAAAGAAAAGTTTAATTTTCTGATGTTTCTAGGCATTCTTTAAAAAAAATAATGTTCATTTATTTTTGAAGGAGAGAGAGACAGAGCATGAGCAGGGAAGGGGCAGAGAGAGAGGAAGACACAGAATCAGAAGCGGGGTCCAGGCTCTGAGAGGTGAGCACAGAGCCCACAGGAGACTTGAACTCACAAACCAAGAGGTCATGACCTAAGCTTAAGTGGGATGTTTAATGGACTGATACACCCCGGGGGAGGCCCTCTAGGCATTCTTAACATTCCGTATGTAATGAAATACTTTTGCAATCCATTTCCAGATACAGATAAATATATATAAAAAAAATTAAGATGAAAATATGGCAAAAGTAATCTCTTGTAAATAATATTATACTGAAAATGAAAAAGTGTTAGAAAACAATCTTATCTTTATGTTTTTCTTACCTTACTGAAAGACACATTGGAAACATTTACAATAAAAGATCTTAAAGAAGCAATAATTTTGCATAAAAATAAACTTTAAAGGGGTTAAAAGAGCTCTTCCCAGGTCCTTAAATGTGGGGAGCACTAAAAAAATCAAAATGAAACAAAACACAAAACAAAAGAACAAAAAAAATGCAATTGTACTATAGAAAGCTATCCAGAGATGTGTATGAAGAGGGAGAGCTTCTCACTTAGTGAAAGTTAATAAGCTTTGAGCATTTACTTTCTGAAATGTAAAAGCATTGAGGGAAAAAGAAAAACCAGAGTCTGTCTCTCTCATCTCTCTCTCTCTCCTTCTCTCTCTCTCTCTCTCTCTCTCTCTCTCTCTCTCACACACACACACACACACACACACACTCACACACACACTCTGAGGTTGTCTTTGCTCTTGCACTACTAGGTAGAAAAGTGAACAAAAAAACCAGATGTGGCAACCTTCATCTATATAAATATAACCCATTCAAAAGTAATGAAATCACTTATCTAAAAAGCTTTTATCATTTTTGAAAGGTTTGAGGGAAATCTATCTTATCCATTTTAAATATCAAGTTTAATTAACATAAGAAACTTTTTTGCAATTTGAAAGCTATCAAAGAATCTTTCTCTTTGCATTCGTTTTTGCATACTAAATTCAGAAGTAGAAAAAAATTGTCATTATGTCAGAGAACGTCAGCCATAAGGGAGCTGAAAGATAAGTTTGACAACACAAAGCAAAACTAGAACTTCTTTTCTGTCTAGGGGTCAGTTCACTTGCAAGTTTTTAATAGAATAAGTCCACCTCAAGCTTTATTTTCCATTTGCAGCGAGAGCAGGATGTGTTTATCCTTTAGTTTGGACTCCTTGTTATGTCAATTACAGGATTTGGGAAACTGGGCAAGTGTCTTTTTCCGAGCAGATTTCCTCACAGGTTACAGGAGGTACACAGTTTTTACCTGAGGACCAAGTCAATGCTGACATCTGTAAGGTCAAATGCTTTATGACCTTAATGAGTGATGTTCCAACCAAACTTAAACACGTATGTTTGCCTTGCTCAGACCATACAAAATAATTATGGATATCCCTTCTCCACAATCCTTTTGAGGCTTAATGAACTGTATTATGGTATCTTGAAAAAGTTTGGACTTACATTGATCAGATCTAGAGTCCTTTGGGACATTTCCTTTGTGAATGGTACTATATCGCTAGGAGTTCTCAGCAGCGCCTGGGTGGCTCCACCAGTTAAGCATCCAACTCTTGATTACAGCTCAGGTCATGATCTCACAGTTCTCTGGGCTGACAGTGTGGAACCTGTTTGGGATTCTCTCTTTCCCTCTCTGTGCCCCTTCCCCGATCCAGCTCTCTCTCTCAAAATAAACTTAAAAAAAAAAAAAGGAGTTTGTAAGAGGTGCCTGCAGGACAGGAGCAGTCACTCTGCACCTCAGTTCCCTCAGCTGGCCGTGGCAATAACACTGGCCACCCTCTGTCCAAACCAGGCTCCACGGGCTATTTCTGACTCAGTCTGTGCTTACTTCCCCCAGAAGTAGCTTTTGCAAGTTTCACATGGCCTTCTTGGTTCTGGGCCTCTGTGATGGTTCCCTTAGATTCTACCTTGAATATCCTTCAAAGTCTTTATTATAATTGTAAACTTCCCCACTTATTCCCATACCTAGTGTTCCCGGAGGGAATCTTTTAACACTATAGACCCTGGCAAGGGGTCTGACATAAGGGAAAATAAACATCTGTTGATTGAGAAAATTGTAATTTTAAAAGTCTCCAGGTAGTCACTGAAAGGTGCAATGGAATTGCTGATTGTGAATTGTTTGTTGTTAATAGCTGATAATGAGAGGAGCTGGCTTCCAAGAATAATTCAGCTATCACTAACAGAAAAGCTAAGGCAAAGACATTGGATTCAGGTTCGGACAGGCCAGTTTAGTTATGCCAGATAATTCAAGTGAAGTCCTTAATTTAGAGAGCTTTGCTGCCATAGAAACCTAATTACAATGTAAAGTGAGTTACTCCTACCACGATTCTGTAATGTTACATTCCTTCAGGAGTCCCAAATATAATTCAGAGGAAGAAAACAAGGAAAAAAGAAAAATATACATATATTTGTGTTTTATTCTTTTACTTTCTTATTCTTCTATACAAGATCGCAGTCCAATGGGTCACTTAACACCACTCAGTGACAGCCAAAGTTCCTCTTAAAATGTAACTCAGCGTCATATAATTTCTCTGCTCGAAACCTCTCAGTGGCTTCTTATCTTACAGTAAAATGGGACAGTCATACCATGAACAACAAATCCTATGTTCAAGGTCTTGGCAGATATTTTTCCTTCGTCTCAAAAGTTCTCCCTGATAGCCCAAAGCTCTCCTGCTGTTTTTCAAGACACTTTTCAAATCTTACCTATTCTAAAAGATTTACACTTCTTCCTTAAAAAAAAAAATGCAATGCTTCCTTCCACCCTCTTATTCTTTAATCTTCCAAAACAAGCTCTCTTTTCCTGACCCTTATTACCGCCTGACATTATATATTCATGTAAATGTATTCATATATATAAATATACATATATATGAATATATATATAACATGCATATTTATTTAAAGCCTTAAAAACTGACTGTTTCCCACATTTAACATTTTTGAAGCCACAGCAAGGCCAGAGACCATACAGCAGCTATTTACAAGGATAAAACTTTTTAAGTTGCCTACTCCCAGCAAAATTAAGAAATAATGCAAGAAGCATGCTTCATTTGGACAATACATGGGTGAAGAGGGCCCTAAATATGCTCTACTCATTCCCCTGCCTTTTATGGTTGACAATGGAAGAGTTACTCATAGTTATATAAGGCAGCGGCTACTAATTATAGCGAAACCAAGACTGGAATCCGCTTCATTCCAGCACAGCACCGCTTCATAGCATGTTAAACCTACTGATGTACTTTTTTTCCTGAAGTTTCTTAATATAAAGTATTCCAGACACAGCCTCTCTTCATACAGAAAAATAAGAATTAATGTGCATTTTCTTAAATAGATCAATAAATATCGTATCTAGAAAAATTACTGAAGATTATATGTGGTCAGATTTTTATTGTTTCTAAAATAGCGTAATAGCTACCCGCTGCCAACATTTTATGAACATTCCCTCTGGTCTAGGCACTTCAGCTCAGCGTCTCCATTCTTCATAACAAACCAGCAAAGTAGATTTTATTAGTTCCATTTTTCAAATGAGGACAATGAAATTCAATGTGTCACAGCACATTGCCCAATTTCCCATAACCAGAAAGGGTCAGAGACAGAATTTAGACCAAGGTCATCCACGCTAGCACCCATGCTTTCTCTCTTGCCTCATGCTTCTGTATGATAACAATGGAGAACTGTAATAATCACTGCTGTCATTGAACTTATCTGCTTGTGTGAAGCTTCCCATGATCATGGAATGAGTGGGGTTCCAGGCCAACCTTTGCCACTCTAAAGAAATAAAGTGAAAGTGGCAAGACGTGTTGGAATGCATTGTTATAGAACAAACACACCCTTGTTTACATGACTCGGACCAAGAATACATCCATCCTGGCCATAGAAGGTTAGAAGAGAAGCAGCCATCTGCTTCTCTACAGTAGAAAAGAAAAGAGGGGACAAACAAAACATAAGTTGAAAATTCAACATTTGCATTTGTTTTCCCATTTTGCTGGGAACAGGCATCTTAGAAAGCTTTAGGATTATAATTAACTATTGTTCATTCTCTGGGTTTGAGATGGCATAAAAACATTTAAAAGCAAGAGAAAAGCCCATTGTAAGGGCTTAGAAAGTAAAAAGTAAGTCATTTAATTTTTCTTTCATCTAATGTTAATTTATGCAGAAGCTAATAACATATTTGTGGCTCAGAGCTGCTCCTTGTGGAGAGGATTTCTCTCTCAACCAGCGTTCCTGTGATCCCTGCCATATAGAGCCATCATTTCAGGGCGTATGACACTTTTGCCAGAGAGAGGCAATACACTGATAAGTTCACATTCTACAGACACGTTTAATTGCTACCCCCTCTGAAAACCAATGGTATTAAGTGTTCTAACTCTTCTCTAGCTGCCACAAACAAAATAGCCAACAACTTGGAAGAGAGGGTGAGGATGAAATTAAATATTTGGGTGCATAGTCAGGTGGAAAGGGAAGAGTGTTGTTGAATGTTGAGGGAGATAAAAGTCAGGGGAAGGAGTATTTTCATTAAAGAAATTGGCAGGATATTCTGAGCAGGGTATAATTAAATTGTTGTGTCTTTTATAATTCCATTAATTCCACTGCTGCCAAATCACCTATAGAATAGAGACAATAGTGCTTGAAGAAATGCAGAATCTTCAATTTGATGTTTTAAGTGAATTCACCATGAATAAAGTAAGCCCCATAATGACAGCTTAAAGGTCTAATTCATAAAAATGTTATTAAAGTACATTATTTATACCTGCTTTTTTGTGGACTTCTACTTTTATTCATGACTCTCTCAGTGTATGGCCATAATCACAGGCAGAGTGTAAATGGAAGTATTAATTCAATCTGAACTAAGGCAAGAATACTGTATCACCACAATAAAATTCCAGTTATATTAATTTAAAGGGCAGAATTTATTGCACAAGAGTATTCTCTTTAAAAAAAAAATGAAAAGAGTGTCTTCCATCTTATGACCTCAAATATCTACTTTCATTCTGAAGTTCAATGTAAGATTGACTAATTGGCAAGAACTTTTAAATGAAATATTTATTCATCTATATTATGAAACAGAGAGATTTGGATACTGAGTTGTGATCTTATTGTGACTACAGTCTTGCTATTTGATATAGGCTGAGAAATATTTACAAGTAATCTGTATTTTAATTAATCCATATTCTGGCACAAATGTTTAGCAAATGCCAATTCAATTGTCTGGCATATGCATTTATTTAGATAACATGGAAAATACCCTGCTATGTAAAATTTCTCCCAGACAAGCTGAAAGTAATAATACTTAAGTCAAAAGTATCTTTATTCAGAATTTTAAACATGATTTGCATATTTAATATGTATAAACCTTTAGGAAAAGGCAAAGTGGAATTCAAGTGGTTTATTTCTAACTCTGGAACTATCAGAATTGGACTTGTTGACTCTCTACTTCTGACTGGATGGGCTGTAATGGCACACTGCAGACACATTTAGACAGAGTGTGAATATCTTTCTCCCTATGACACCAGCTTATCTCTAGGAGCCATGAAAAGGGGTTCTTTATAAATTATACTTCTAACACTGAAAGTGTTGTCTTTGATCTTGTAGGTAAAAAATCTCTATACCTAAGGGAATGAATTAATTCCTATATTTAATGAGAGGCAGTCATTAGTAGACAATTTCAACATTCATACTAGAACTATGCATTGGATTTCTTCAGCACAGTAACAATCTCATAATATTTCTGGATGATGAAAATCTTTGAATGCTTGGCATCTATGTGTGTGAGGAGAGACAAAGGACAGAGACAGAGTTGTTTCAAATATAAGGTAAATAGCACCACTAATTGAGGATAAAAATTAGTCATCTTCCAACATTAACTGAACTTAGAGCTGCCTCAAACCTAAAAACACTGAATATTCCATTTCAACAACTTCTACATGACTTTGTTATGAAATGAGCACACTCACCAGAACAATGTCCAGAGATGACCAGTTGTTAACAAGGCTGTGGCTCGGCATTTGAGGTTCCCTCTGCCCCTCAGATTAAGATTTCTCAGATCTCTGAAAAGTAACTCTTCCACGAGGAAGTCCAGAGCCACCACATGCTGTTCCGTGTGGGACCCAGACTTATTACAAACCTCTGGGTGCAGAGTGTGAGCACCCTCATTGATACAACCACTCAGAAAGGGCAGGGGAACTTATGTCCCCAACACACTGCCAGACAGATGTCACCAGGCTCCAAATGCCTGTTGACAAGAAGCAGATGTGACAAACGGTTAAATCAAAATAGATCACATTAATGGCCTCCTGTACTACTTCTAATGAAACTAAACATCTGAAAGGAAAACAGAAAAAGTATTTCTTTTAGTTTACCTGCAGTATCTTTCCCAGATATGATGTTTTAATTTCATATATTACTATCTTTAGGCACCAAACAATTGCTTGGTTCAGAAAGTTCAAAGGATCTTGTTCATTATTTATAAACAATATTAACAACCTGCAATTTTATGCATTTACTGTGAGCCAGGCACTGTGCAGAGTGCTTTGTAAACATGATCTAACTTTGAGGGAGTACTATTATTTTACAAATGAGGAAAATAAGGTTTAGTGAGATTAAATCACTTGCTCAAAGTCACAAAGCTATCTGGAGGCAGAAGTGATTTCACAGTAATCCTTCATTCAAATCTTGGTTTTTCCTTTGTATTACATTTTCCTGAAAGAAATATTTTCAATTTTCTTCTCCAGAAAAAGAAGAGGAAAAGAAGAAAGCTGAGAAGAAAGTGACTTCTGAAACAAAAAAGAAAGGTGAACAATTTAAAAACTAACACAGAAACCAATTAATATCCTTTTACGATACTACTCATAAAGCTCTTGTTTTCTAGGAAAGATATTCCCTTAATCATTTTATTGTTATTGTTGTTAGCAGTCTTGAAATTTATAAATATTCTAAATAAGGTTGAATCGATAAATTTTTAAAAAGAAAATTTATGTCTAAACACTTTTCTAAATTGTTACTGATGGAATTTTTTTCTTACTGAGCAGTGGTACTCAGTTCTCTCTCTGCAAATACAAATATGAAGTTCCTATTCAATTCATTCAGTTTAATAAAAAGTGTCTATCAAAAGGGCAACTATTGAATGTATAAGGAAAAAAAAACCTAGTTGATTGATACACTGTATTTTGTTACTTAAAAAAATTTTTTTAATGTTTATTTATCCTTAGAGAGAGAGAGAGAGAGAGAGAGAGAGCACGCGCGTGAACATGAGCAAGGGAGAGGCAGAGAGAAAGGGGACACAGAATCTGAAGCAGGCTCCAGGCTCTGAGCTCTGAGCTGTCAGCACAGAGCCTGACGGAGACTGGAACTCTTGAACTGCGAGATCATGACCTGAGCCTAGGCTTAACTGACTGAGCCACCCAGGCACCCCTATTACTTTTAGATGGTTGTTTTCAAATAGTGCATCTGAAGTTTCAAATGAGCTCCAGAGATTTCTGCTTCTGACATGCTTCCAGTGGCTTGATAGCCCAGAGAACTTTCAATATATTCATTTTAATGTCCTTTAGAAAAACTATTGAGGGGCGCCTGGGTGGCTCATGGGTTGAGCGTCCTACTTTGGCTCAGGTCATGATCTCACGGTCCGTGAGTTCGAGCCCCGCGTCGGGCTCTGTGCTGACAGCTCAGAGCCTGGAGCCTGCTTCAGATTCTGTGTCTCCTTCTCTCTCTGACCCTCCCCCATTCATGCTCTGTCTCTCTCTGTCTCAAAAATAAAAAAATAAACATTAAAAAAAACTATTGAATTATAGCAAAATTGATAATGGCATAAATGTTTCCATTGTCATGAGAATTTTGTTTTTGAGCTTAGCACAAATTTGCTCCCTTCCTGAGGAGGAAACACAACAGAGCTCCTTTTGTGTTAGGAAGGTGCTGGTTTGCTCATATTTGACACTACTGTGGCACGGATTTAGGATTACTCTATAGAAGATGAGTTGGATGCCATAATGGCAGTCACGTGTGCCCCAAAATACATAAGAATTAAACAGACGCCTAAAATGAGTAAAATTTTCTCATTTTACTACCAGAAAAAGAAGCTGTCAAAAAGAAAACCGACAAGGAAACTGCCGTTGATGTGAAAAAAAAAGGTATTGTACTTTGTTTCCTTAGTCAAATTATGTTCACAATGTTTCTTCATGAAAGAATTTGGGGGCGATGTAAACAAACTGGATATAGGTACTTAAATCTGTGCATGTTCAGGCTGTCAAAGCAAACATTGCACTGGACGAAATTAAACATGCAAGGAAGGCTTTATTCAAGGCTGTTGCAAAACAGGATAGAGGCCACAACTCATTCTGAACTCAATTTCATTGAAACAAAGAGCAGGAGGGTTTTTAAGAGCTGCAGTGGGGTGGAGGGTTTAGGCCATGTGTGTGCTAATGGGCCTGACTCAAAGCAAAAGTAGACTGGTTTCTTAATTTCGTGACTGGAGTGCAGTTTTACAGCTTGGAGCAAGGCACTCCAAGGAGTTAGATTCTTACTATCCCACAGAAACTGGGAGACTTGGGGTACTATTGTTCTTGATGATTACATTTCAAAGGGATGGCTTCCTGCTCCCTGAGAGAGGTATTCTTGAGTTAGAAAACCAGGAAAGAGCCTTTTAAAAAGATTTCTATTTGAAAGGAGCAGAGAAAGAATTTACAATTACAAGTCTTCTGAAGTAATTGCTCTAAGTAAAAGGAGGGTAAGAGCCTAAGGTCAGAAAGAAGCCTGTCTAAAGTTTAGTGAGGCTGAATTCAGAGAACTTTAAGGCCATCCTGGTGAAGACATAATGAAATTGAGAAGAGCTACATAGTATAATAACACCACTTTGCAAAGCTAAGAAGCTCAGAGAGAGTAATGCAGACCATTAAGAAAGAGCGTTGTTCAACAGCTTAGATTTTTGCTTTATACTTAGTCGTGCTTTAATTCTTGTTCAAACATGGAATACCAGCTTCTATTCGGGTTAAGCTTAAGTCTAGGTGAAAAAGATAGTTGTCTCACATTATGAGATATTATGGTTTGGTGTTAAGTGTTCTCACCCCCAAATATTTCCTCCACTAGTGTCAGTGATGCTTGAAATTCCACTATTAGAGATATTCCATTCCTTTGAGTTATGAAGGAATTGTCCTCTATTAAGATGCAAATCTCCTAGGCCTGTGTGTATGGGCTAACAAACTAATTCTTCTCAGTTATTAACACTTAAAGTGAATGAGATTTCCAGACCCTTTCTGTGTAATAATAAGCTGGAAACAATGCCCTAGAAAATGGGGTGGTAGGTAGGCTTAAATGAAGGAGAGGTTGAAGAGAGAGCTTCAAGGCTATTGTGTGGAGAGAGAAGGACTGGATAGCATCAGTGAAAACTGTTTTCTTCTAGGAAGTAGATAGCTTATCTAGAGGGGAAAAGGTGATGGTGAAGGATCCTGAAAAGGAAGGCCACCGAATGCCAAACTAGATACTAGTTAGTAACAAATAGGGGTTGCAGGAAGTCCCCAACATCATGCTGTAAGCAGGGTAAAAAATATTGTAAAGTATTAACAGTTGCATGATTGTATGACTCATGAAATGCTCAAGAAGAGACCTCCAGGTGTTCTGTGGGTCTGAGAACTGATAGCCAAATATTTTACCTTGCATCCAAATTTTCGTTATTAAGGGCATATTATTGTAGAATCTGTTGTATTGTTGAACATTCATTGAGTTTGACTTAAAACTTTCCTTATGCCCCTGGTGAAAAATGTACCTTATCATAAGAGAAGGAAAAATGCAATTTTGGCTATTTGATGGCTGCTTGGGTCCATATATCTGTGACATGATTGGGTGCTAAAGGGAAACAAGGTTCTCCTTTCTGGACCATCAGTTTTACCAGGTATTTGCAGAAGAAGTTTTGAATTGAATTGTAATCTCCAAAATATTTGTCATATGTTTGCAAATGCAAAATCAGAAAATACTTTTGGCAAAACTCAGTGATGTGCATGGTTGTCGTTTTAGTTTGGTTTTAGTTTTTTAGGAGAAAGGCAACATGCCTTATGGACAGTGAGTGATGGGAAAATTTGATATTTCTCTGCTACTGGGAGACCTGTGTTATTAGCCCAGCAGTCATGTCAGAGTGAGGTTATGTACCACTGGCAACAGAACTGATTATGCCAATATCACTCCCCACAAGGTCAGGCTCATCCATTCACTGCCTACAAGGCCAGTGCTCATGTGCTCATCCACTGAAACAGAACTAACTGGGTGGTTGCTCAGCATACCTGGGGAAGGCTGCTCAGCTAGCGTTGAAAAGCAAGTTTGTCCTTCTTGGAACCAGTTTCCCGTGTGTTTGTTTGTTCGTATGTTTACTGTTGATGACACAAAATACTGTTGGATCTTAAAAATTAGTTCAACTTCTTAATGAAAATATGTGCAAATTGTTTGTTTATAACCTCTTAACCCTCCAATACACTCAAAATTGTGTGTGTGTGTGTGTGTGTGTGTGTGTGTGAGAGAGAGAGAGAGAGAGACAGAGAGAAAGAGAAAGAGAGAGAGACAGAGACACAGAGATTTAATTAATGTTGGTTTATAACTCTTGTTTCTTTTTAGAGTTTAATAATTCTCCAATTGTATTTTCATGTGAGAGGCAATATGGTTTAAAAGCAGCCAGTTTGAAACGTGACAATAGTAATTTCTAGAGATAACGAAAGAAATTGAAAATAATCTGAAATCTTGAAGAGCTGGGGCACATATGTCATTTCTTCCTAAAATAGTCAGAGAAATATAGCAGAGTGTCTGATGTCACTACTCTAGCCCCAAAGAGTAGAAAATTTACAAGGCATAAGATATGCCTAGATACTTATGGGATTTACCACGATATTTTATTATATTTATATTGACTTTTGTATTCTTTACATTTATATAACATATAAAGTTACTTACATATTATATTGTTATTTTATTTTATTACATGTATATTTTATAATTATGTAGATGCAAATGAACCTGAGACATAAATTCTATGATAAATGAGCCTCTACTGCCTGAAACTAGTAAATCACACTTTGCAAATGATCTATGCTAGGGAAAATTGCCAGTTCACAAGTTAATAATGGTTGAAACAGGGCAATTGGTGCATCCGGGTTCATGATAATAATCTCTTGTTTTGTATATGTTTCAAATTGTCCTGGTACAAACAAATATGTGCCACTTATAAAACACTGTATGAAATGGCAAAAAATAGTCACCAGGATATTTTTACAATGTTATGAGGTAAGTTTCAGTCTGAACACCATGGAAAACGCAATCAAGAGAGGAAATAAAAACCTTTAGAAAATATCTCCCTGTGTTTATATGACACTTCAGTGTTAGACATACAAACCGCTCAAGGTAGACAAGCAGAAGGACTTCCATCCAGGAAAGTGGACACAGCACAGTTGTTGGAAGCACCGGAAGAACCCTGAAATCAAGGAGCTGTTACTAGATTACTGAGCATCAAGGCCTGTCAGTTGGTCAGGAAGTGGCTTCACTCATCAAAGCTGCCTCTTAACACCCACAGACTAGGGGCACCTGGGTGGCGCAGTCGGTTAAGCGTCCGACTTCAGCCAGGTCACGATCTCGCGGTCCCTGAGTTCGAGCCCCGCGTCGGGCTCTGGGCGGATGGCTCAGAGCCTGGAGCCTGCTTCCAATTCTGTGTCTCCCTCTCTCTCTGACCCTACCCCGTTCATGCTCTGTCTCTCTCTGTCCCAAAAATAAATAAACGTTGAAAAAAAAATTAAAAAAAAAACACCCACAGACTAGATCCTGGAAATGTTGAGGCCAGCCTAAGCAACTGGCTCACATCAGAGTGACCTGTGCCAAAATATGTCTGCTTCTCAGTCTCCTATAGGTGCATCTAACTGGTAGAATTAAATATACTGCAAGTGAGTCTGGAATATGCAGGTTTTTGGCATTCCATGTTTTCCATCTGGAAGGGGGATTAAATGGAAGTTAAAAGAGGCCATCTAAGGTATCTATAATAAAGATACAGAAATGTTTTATAAGATAAAACTCACATAATAAAAGAAGGTTTTTGAAGGCCTGAATTACACAAAGATGGGTCAATCAAGCAACATGATAAAAATGTGGCAATTTAAAGTGCTCATAAGACATAGTCAAATAGTTTGTGTTATTCTTTACCTAAACTGTAGATAAAAGGCATTCTTCATCACTTTATTTCACAAAATGGTATTTTTGAAGAAATAATGTTCTTAGTGCTTGATGAGGTTATAATGGTTAGAAAATTAACAAGTTGATTTTCCTTGTAATGAAACAATTATAACCTGGAGAAAAAACATAAACCAAGATAGAATAAGATCAAAACTACGATTCATTTCTTTCAGATTGGCATTTCTGGAGTTATAAGTTATCATAAATTTTTTGGACTTAGATTCATTACCACCCTATAATGTTTACAAGCCTATTAATTATGAAGATAATTTTGACTTGATAACTGATAGGTAATGGTGTAAAATGATGTTTCATTATCACACTTTGCAACATGACTTTTTTCCCAAGAATTATCTGAATAGGAGTATAAACTATAAGAAAGATCCTGAGAAAACATACTAGTTTCTCTGGAATAGCTGCTAGAAAAGGACAAATTCACTCATCCATGTATTCGCGCATGCATTCTTATAAAAAATATTCACTTAATGTCTACCATATACCAGCCATTGTGCCAGGTGCTGAGTACACAGAGGTAGATAACTGAACATAAACCCTAACAGAGTTTACATTTTGATAAAGGAGGCACACAGTGAACATGATGTCCATAAGTCCAACTTGGGATAAGGGCCGTAGGAGAAACAAATTTGAGGCAGTGAGGAGAAAGCAATGAGTGGGGATAGGGAGCTATTTAAATAGATAAGCTTGTTAGAGCAGGCTTTTCTTTCTTTTTTTTTTTTTTTCAACGTTTTTTATTTATTTTTGGGACAGAGAGAGACAGAGCACGAACGGGGGAGGGGCAGAGAGAGAGGGAGACACAGAATCGGAAACAGGCTCCAGGCTCTGAGCCATCAGCCCAGAGCCCGACGCGGGGCTCGAACTCACGGACCGCGAGATCGTGACCTGGCTGAAGTCGGACGCTTAACCGACTGCG